TCGTAGGAATGAAGAGAGTAGGTGACTTTGGTAGGTTTCTCAGAGCTAAGTCTGTGTGAGAGGATGTCATACTTTCCTTGAGGAAAGGACTCCCAGGTCTGTCCACTTCCTTATCTTCTTCACCTTCTGGATTGTTAGCTTCAGCAGCACAGAGGGGACTCCTCACTGGGACCCAGGAGAGCAGAGCTTGTCTGAGGCTCTGTAAGCCCAGATTCAAAATAAAACTTGAGAGAGAGAGAGAGAGAGAGAGAGAGAGAGAGAGAGAGAGAGAGAAGAGAAGAGAAGAGAAGAGAAGAGAAGAGAAGAGAAGAGAAGAGAAGGGAAGAGAAAACACTCCAATTGGCTAAAGAAGGAAACCTGAAATATGAGTTTGAAGCAAACATATGACTTAAATATCTTCTGCTGGGTCAGCTTACCCTTGCCCTAGTAACTCCTCCCCCTGCCAATGGCTGTGCACACTGGTTTGGAGAAACAGTCTCCTTGGTTCTGTCAAAATGATCCATTTCAACTAGGTTACTACCCTGATCCATTCTCAGTTTCTCTCTGCATTAGAATTTTTCCTGTTTGTAGTTTTGCTCTACAAGCTTGATCTTGGTGTCCACCATCAGGCTGGCCCTGATGTGAATGTGGGCACATCTCAAGGCCCTGGAAATTCAGAGTGAAAGTGAGGCAGGAGGTTGTTCAGTACAAAGGGAAGAATTCAGGATGGGGTCTGAAGTCGTAGATTCTGGTCCAGGATTTTTTGCTGCAGAGCTGTGAACTCGTGGATTTGTTACATACCTTTATGAACCCCAGCTTTTTTTTTTTTGTCTGCAAAATAATGGAGGGGGAATCATATTAGGTGAACATAAAGCCAATCCAGCACTAAAATCCTAAATATTTTGAAGCTAACATCACATCCTTGGTTATGAAAGGTGGCTGCCTTTTCTTGGGCAATGAGGATTGGTCTCCCAAGGACATCTGCACTGGGTCTGTTCTGTGTTTATGCAGAACTTCCAGGCAGAAAGATGCATAGGTGATCAGAGTGGTTGGAGGAGGCTAGGTCAGTGCCTGAGTTAGAGGAGTTCTGTGGCGGAGCTTTTAAATGTTCCTTGTTCCCCTAGGTGTTAGTAAGTTTTCTGTCACTATAATAAAAACCTGAGATAATTTTCTTATAAAGTGAAAGGGTTTACTTTGACTCATAGTTTTGTAGGTTTCAGTCCATGATTGGTTGACTCTGTGGCTTTTGGGCCTATGACGAGGCAGCATGTCATGGTGGGAACAAAATCACAACCCTCATGGCTACACAGGGGAAGAGAGGAAGAGCAAAAGACTGGGGTTCCACAATTCTTTCTGAGGGCAAATTCCCAGTGACCCAAAGTCCTCCCATGAGTCCTACCTCTGAATGTCTCCAATACCTCCAAATAGTGCCGATCCTTTAGAAAAGGATGGGCCTTTAGGAAACATTCCAGATCCAATCTATAGCACCTGACTAGAAGCAGGTGCAAAGGCCCAGAGGAAGGTTGAGCATGAGCACAGACCTCAGAGTTCCACAAAGCCTCAGACAACTTGTAATCTCACTTGTGATTTCTTCATGCAACTTTGAAATCACTATTTGACCTCACAAATTAAGGTCTTAATAAGTGTTAGTTCGATAAATGACGGTGTGAAGTGGGGCAAGAAGGACCTGGACCCTCAAAAGGTGCATGGAGTCCTTACTCCTACTCTTGTTTTATTTAGCTTTTTACTTTAAAAAATATCAAACATCCAGAAAGTAGATGAGTATAATGCCACCTATATATTTATCATTTAGACATAATATTAAGAATTATTTTTTTCCATATTTACTTATCTTCTGTGATAAAAGTATTTTAAAATAGGATTAGGGATGTAGCTCAGTGGTGTGCTTACCTTGTATGTGCCAGGCCCTTGGTTCAATCCTCAGCACCAGGATGGGAGCAGGTGGAGGAGAAGATCTTTTGGATCTTTTTTTTATATATCTTGTCTCAATAAAAAAATAATGGCATTACTTGATTGAAATAGAGTGTATAAAATATTCAAAAGAAATAATTTTTTTTTTGGTGGTACTAGGGATTTTACCCAAGGGTGCTCTACCACGGAGTTATACTTGCAACCTCATTTTTTTTTAAAAAACATCTATTTTGAGATAGGGCTTTGCCAAGTTGCTAAAGCTGTCCTCAAACTTTGCAATTCTTCTGCTTCAGTCTCTCAAGTTGTTGGGATTACAGGTGGGTTCCACCATGCCTGTCCTTCTCCTTCCCCCATGTCCCCACACTATTGGAGATGGAATTTAGGGCCTTGCCTTGCATATGTTAGTCAAGTACTCTACCATTGAGTTACATACCCACCCCTTCATTATTCTTTCTGGTTCTTGTCTTTGGCAGTGGGAGCCACTTCAAGTTGGCTTGACATCCCAGTCTTTGTTAGCTTCTGCGCTTTCAGGCTCTATAAAATACTTCAGACTTATCTGGTACATTCCTCAGTTCAGACCCAGAACTCTCTATTGCTTTAAGGTTCACTGGTCCTGTTAGTAAGGAATAATATTAAGAGACCTTCCTCTTTCCCCCTTTCTCTTTTTGTGTTAGTGAGAATTGAATCCAGGGTTTCACACTGAAATGCTCTACCACTGAGCTACATCCCTATCCCCCTTTTAAATTTTTATTTTGAGACAGGGTCTTACTAAATAAAACAGTTCTTAAGGGTGTGTTTGTGTGTGACAGAGCTGGGGGTGGATTTTATCTGTGAAAATGCATATTAACTGTATGAGATTAAAGAGGGCATCAAACAGAGTTTGATGTAAATGTCACATGTTAGTGGTTTCAGGTCCGCCAGATTCTTTACTCTTCATCCTGTGATCTTTGCTTTTCCTTATCTTCTGTGGAAAGACCCAGAGTATTCCAGAAGAGAGGTCAGCCCAGGGACCAGGCAGTCCCTGAGATAGGTTTAGAGGGTGGTTGGGGTATGGTAGTGAACAAGGCTCAGAAAGCTAAGGGTCAGGGCCATGAAGGATATTGTCACTTAGGAGAAGATATAGAATGAGGCTCCTTTCAAGCCTCTCTAATGTCCCCTAAGTTTTGAATATTTCTCTAGGAAGCCATGGCTGCTTGCTGAATGTGAGATGTGGTCTGGGTCAATAACACGCTGGTTTTGGGCTGGTTGATGTATACAAAATGTGCTTTTCTAAGTCCTGAATAGAGTCTTAAGATGGAGGTTGAGAACCGACCTCAAAATAAAGGAGTGAAGAATGGAAACCCCAGCTCTCCGACTTCCTATAGATGCTTCTTGCTTCCTATAGGTGGAGAAAAGAGCTATAAGAGAGTATAGCTGAAAATAATAATGGTAAAGACAAGAACAATAATAGCAATTATGGCTAACTTATTTTCAGATGAGGAGAGAGTAACTCAGTTAAGATTGCACAGCACACGGGACTGGGGATGTGGCTCAAGCGGTAGCGCGCTCACCTGGCATGCATGCGGCCCGGGTTCGATCCTCAGCACCACATACCAACAAAGATGTTGTATCTGCCGAAAACTAAAAAAACAAAAATAAATAAATATTAAAATTCTCTCTCTCTAAAAAAAAAAAAAAGATTGCACAGCACAGCAAGTAAATTGAGAAGGCAAGATTTCAACCTTGGAATGTGGGCAACCTTGTGAATGAAGCCTTTTCCCTGGACACTGGGGAACACAGCTGGGTTGGGTATTCTGTACAGGGTTGTGTTCCATACTGGCTGCTGTGAATGCCCATGCTCTTTTCTTCCCCAGGGCAAGTGGCACTCTCAGTCAGCTCTAGCACAGATAGGTGTAGAGTAGGGACTCAGCTGTAAAACTGAATAAGGGAGAAATGGGTCCTGACACCGTTGACCCTTTGAATGTTGCTATGCTTGGAGACTCTTCCAACTTCCCAGGAGTCCTGGATGTGGACTCTACTTGTTTTCATGCCCAGCCGTGTTCTCTGGAGGCTCTGTTCCTGGCTTGAATTACTTAGAGCTGGAAAATGACAAGTCAGGTCATGGTTAAGAATAGAAACCCACAGACCAAGCACATGCTTCCAGGTTGGGTTCTGGCGAGTGTCACATACACAGAGCTGTTATGTTGGCCACTGCTTCCCCACAGGCAGGATATGGGTAGGGAAAATGAGTTCATCTTCCTAATGAAACTTCATGGTGTGTTTCTAGTTAAGCACACACCTCCCCCATCTTAAGGCATTAAGTACTAAGATCAATCAGGTAATTGTGGCTTCATATTAGAGTAGCACAAAGATAAGAATACTCTAAAGGTTAGCTTTATTTAACACTTGGCCAGACATAGGCCAAGGTGGTAGATAATGGTGGCTCCAAAAAGAATTTTCCACTTTGTCAGAATTTGGTAAGAGCCTAATTTATGCCCCTCAACCTTCCCTTGATGGTGTACTGATCTCTTCTTATTTCTACATTTGTCACCATAACACCAATGACACTAATAATACTGCTCCAAACCATATTCCTTCCATAAGTATTCATCTGCTCTGTTAGTCTGAGTGTGTGTGTGTGTGTGTGTGTGTGTGTGTGTGTGTGTGTGTGTGATGTCAAGTCAAGGATTAGTATTAATGAATGTGAATGCTGCCGCTGGGTGTGGTAGTAAACTTAGGAATATTTTCTGCTATTCTCATGGGTTTCTTTGGTTTCAGAGTCTGAGGGTTTAGAATTAGCTCCTTGTTTCATCTCTGCAGTAGCTTTTTTTTTTTTTTCCTTCCTGGTACAAAGAATTAACTATGGAAAGCAAACTTTAGAGAAAACCAAAGGGGGGGGGGGGAAACATGTCTTCTTTGGAGCCCAAGTTTTGGTCCATTTGCAGTTGTTCCCAGGCACTTGCAACCTCAGATACCACCTGATTACAGGGTGGCATGGATAGAGGGATGGGTGTCCTGAAGATTGAATACAGGAAGAGACAGGTCTGCAGATGTGGAGCCTCAATTTGTGGCCAGGGCTCTCTGACCCTGATATTGTCCTCTCCCCACAGCGGGAATGCATATCTGTCCACGTGGGTCAAGCTGGAGTTCAGATTGGCAATGCTTGTTGGGAGCTCTTCTGCCTAGAGCATGGCATCCAGGCAGATGGCACCTTTGGTGCTCAGGCCAGCAAGATCAACGACGATGACTCCTTCACCACGTTTTTCAGTGAGACTGGCAATGGGAAACACGTGCCCCGGGCTGTCATGGTGGACCTGGAACCTACTGTCGTAGGTGAGTATGGGTTAAGATTCCCTCCACAGAAAACAATACAAAACCTCAGAGGCTTTGGCTTAATGAAAGATAAGGAAGCTAAAAAGTGGGGGTGGCTCAACTAGAATCCACCAGCCCTTGTGACTTCTGTCAACTCTTTAGGGAATCTTGCAATAGGGATTGAGGATCCCTGTTAATCTTTACAATGTAAAGTGCCCCTTAAGCCTGCTGAGACAGTCTGAAATGAACAAGACTGTCACTAAATGCTAATAATTTAAAAAAACCTAAATAATTTTGGAAATTATAATAAGCCCCTAATTAGTCAATTTCCCACAGTGTAGGTTTCTGATTTTATAATAATTGCAGTCTATTCTCACAGGTCTGGTCTAACCTTGAAGTACCTTACATACAAAATGATAAAACAGCAAGCATATTCACAGCCGGGTGTTGCAGTTGTTTTAGAATAAATCTCATTCAGTTAGTTACACAGCAGAATTTCCTAAGCTTTAAGGCTGGTTCATCAAGCAAGGGGTAGACAGGTTGCACAGAGATATCTGGACAAATGCTTATAACACCTGAACAGTGGTTTCTAGAGGCAACGAATGACAGGTACTCTACCCTTTGGATGTTTTGTACAAATGCAAAATATGGGGGTCACCTTCCCAGGTGACTGCACACTTGAATGATTTCTCTGAAGGGGGAGTAGAGGAATCCCAAAGAGATGATGAGGGGAGGCGGATGAATCTTCATCTGCCTTGTGCCTAACCTGTGTGAATCCTTGGAGGTAAGCAGAGCCCCCTTGAAGGCCTCCCAAAGGCTCCTGCTTTTCCACGACCCTGGAGTACAATTTTGCTTAAAAGCATTAAAAAATATGTCTTGGACTGGGTGTGTGGCTCAGTGGCAGAGTGTGTGCTCAGAACGCATGAGGTACTGGGCCTAATCTCCTACACCAAAGCCAGAAGGGTGTCACATGATAGTCTAATGGGGAGGGAGGCTTCTCCTCTGGAAACCAGGTGGTAAGACCTAATGGTCCCCCTCTCTTGGTAGATGAGGTTCGGGCAGGAACCTACCGCCAGCTCTTCCATCCAGAGCAGCTGATCACAGGAAAGGAAGATGCAGCTAATAACTATGCCCGGGGTCACTACACAGTGGGCAAGGAGAGCATCGATTTAGTGTTGGACCGCATACGGAAGCTGGTAAGCATCTGGGACAGAAGATTGGTGAGTTAGGCTAGAGTGAACAGGCTTGGATCTATATCTCTTGGATAAGGCTGGGTAGATGGAGCTATATATGACTTCTGGCTACAGGATAGAGCACTTAAGGTTTGGGAATTTTTTCCAGTGCTGGTGATTAAATTCAGGGCCTCATGGATGCTAAGCACACACTCTACCATGGAGCTATACCCTGGTTTTATATTTTGTAAAGGGCATTCCCAAGGATGATGCCTTTCCCCTACCTAGGTATCATGGACTATCCTACAGGCTGATGCCTGAAGGTACCTATCAATACTGTATGGTGGTATCTGGGGAAGATTCCAACTATAAGGAAGGCTAAGGCCTTGCTTATTGGAATAATGGTTTACAAATCATTAAGTTAGAAGAGGAGAGGAAGAAATTGTTACACATTTGAGGACTTGCAAATATTATACATATCAAGAACATTCCTTCATTTTTTTCTTAATAGTCATACAAAGGAGGTCTCTTCCCTGTACTTTACAGGTAAAGAAATTGAGGGCCAGGGTGGTTAAATAATTTAGCTTGGTTTACACAGATAGAAAGTTGGCAGAGTTAGGATTTGAACCAGGTTGATTTGACTAGAAAGCTCTGAGTTGTGGGCAAAGTCACTTTGTTTAAGCTCCTATTTCCTAATTTGTATGATGGAAAATGTTGGATGTAGTGAAGTTTTTTTCTTTTTTAACCTGGGTGCTTAGGATGTTACATTTTTGTATATGTTTACTTTTTTTGTTTAGAGGGTTCTCATAGAGGTCATCAGTCTCAAAGCCATCTGTAGTGTTACTAAGTTTTGAAGCACTGGATTAAATAATACATCATATTCAATGGAAAAATTCTATGACTCTGAATTATCTTTGTTCTGATAGACTAACATTGAATGCTTAATAAGCATCAGATTTTTACTCAAAACATTATGCTATCTCATTTAATTATCACAATAACCTTGTAAGATAAGGATTTTTTTACAGGAAATCATAGTCTTTTAAAAAATTATAATTATTAACACATTAATTGTAGAAAATAATAGGTTTCACTATGTATTTCCATACTTACCTCTATCATGCTTTGATCATATCTACCCTCCCTTCTACTCTTACCCTCCCTTTTCTCTCTCCTTCCCTCTCCCCTTTTCCCTTCTCTAATTGTCTCAAGATGAGGATATTTTTCTTGTCTCCACTTTAATCAAGAACAAACAAAAGTTTGGAGAGGTTCAATAACTTGTTCAAGTTTTTACAACTGGGAAGCACATGGATGGGTTGGTTGGTTTGACTTGGTCATTCCACAGTGTATGTAAAAACTGTAATATCACTTTGTACCCCATAAATATGCACAGCTATAAATTTTCAATATAGAATAAAATAAAAAAGGAAACCTCAGGTTCCCTAACTCCTTTTCTTAAGTTGGTACTCTGACTTCCCTTTCAAGGTTGGGTTGAGAGGTATAGGTAAACAGTTCCTACAGAATCACAGGGCAAGGGTGGTGGGCAATTTGAGGCTCTCAAAATGCAAAGTCACTGATCATTGTGGCTCTGAAATTTTCATTCCTGTTTTAACTAAGCTTCTGGGATGAAACTTTCATGTTCCTAAAGGCATGTGTAGCTTGCTATCCCATAATTCAGCTACTCCTCCCAAGATCAAAACAACTGCCTTTGTGTTTCCTTATTTCTTCAAGGCTTTTGTGATTTCACTCATATAAAAATGTTGTCGGATGGGATGGGGCAGAGGGAAGGATTTGTTACCTGGGAGAATTCTCAGAACTTGTCTTCATGATTTCTTCTCGTTTCCTGCTTTCCCCAGACAGATGCTTGCTCTGGCTTGCAGGGCTTCCTGATCTTCCACAGTTTTGGTGGAGGCACTGGCTCTGGCTTCACTTCTCTGCTGATGGAACGCCTCTCCCTTGATTATGGCAAGAAGTCCAAGCTAGAGTTTGCTATCTACCCAGCACCCCAGGTCTCCACAGCAGTTGTTGAGCCCTACAACTCCATCCTGACAACCCACACCACACTGGAACACTCAGATTGTGCTTTCATGGTAGATAATGAAGCCATCTATGACATCTGCCGCAGGAACCTAGACATCGAGCGCCCCACCTATACCAACCTCAACCGCCTCATCAGCCAGATTGTGTCCTCAATCACAGCCTCTCTCCGCTTTGATGGGGCCCTCAACGTGGACCTCACTGAGTTCCAGACCAACCTGGTGCCCTATCCCCGCATTCACTTCCCCCTAGTCACCTATGCTCCCATCATCTCTGCTGAGAAAGCCTACCATGAACAGCTCTCTGTTGCTGAGATAACCAGCTCCTGCTTTGAGCCCAACAGCCAGATGGTGAAGTGTGACCCAAGGCATGGAAAGTACATGGCCTGCTGCATGCTCTACCGGGGAGATGTGGTGCCCAAGGATGTGAATGTTGCTATTGCCGCTATCAAGACCAAGAGGACTATCCAGTTTGTTGACTGGTGTCCCACAGGCTTCAAGGTGAGAGCTGATAAATTACAAAGGGGCTAGATAACCAGAAAAGTAGAAACAGAAGACAAAAAATGGTAGAATGAAGTCTTGGGAGCCTCAGGTTTTATGTATTGATATGGGGAGAGGAACTGAAACCACATGTAAAATTAATTTCATTCATCTTTGGTTGAGACACAAATGCTGTTGAAATTTTGTCTGCTTAAGTCATTTTAGAGCCAGGCATGGTGGTCCATGCCTGTAATCCCAATGATTTGGGTGGTGAAGCAAGAAGATCATACATTTGAGGCCAGCATGGACAATTTAATGAGACTTGTCTCAAAATAAAATTTTAAAAGGGATTGGGGACATAGTTCAGTGGTTAAGTGTCCCTGGGTTCTGGGTTCAATCCCTTATAAAAAAAATTTAGAAAACATGAATTTGAGAATATTTTAAATTGGTTTATTATCTTTGATTTTGTTTTAAAGCTGAGGAGCAAGTAATGATTTTGGAATGGACCTGAATCACAATGCTTTTGGAGATCATGATTCAGTTCAATTTATGTTAAATTCGTTTTAATAGACATTTTCCACTTCCAGGTATATTTTAATTTTAGAATTGACTAAGTTATTCTTGTTGTTAGAGAGGAATAATTTTCTCTTCTAACAAAAAATGTGTTCCCCCAGTTTATTTTGAGAAATTAAATACCTATTCTGTAAGACTTAATTAATTTGGAGAAATAGTGGGGCATATTTTGTTTATTACATGAGTCACTTATGTCATAAAGCCCTGACATTTTCCATTCCTGACAACCAAGATGTAACTGTTCTCTGTTAGAGCAAGGGAGTGTAGCACTCCTTCTCATTGTTCTACTCCTGGCTACATTTTTCATCTTCCTTCCCCAAGACTATGCCTGTTTTTATGTGGCTGTTCTGGTCATTCTTGCAAAAGTAGTCAAGGTCTTAAAAAATGGTATTCTTTTTCTTTTTTTTTTTCAAATGGAAATAAACAACACAAGTTAGTAGGAGAATAAAGAGGGGGTAGAAAAATATACAGAGATGTTGGGATGGTGGGGGAAATGAGGACAGAAGGAGATGTCCTCCCATTCTCTCTCATTTATTTTAAACAGATAGAACATCTGTTCTGAGTTCATGTCCAGAAAGATAAATAAGGTGACATTAGCACTGCCAGGGGAGTGAATGTTGCTAAACTTCATCCTCTGACATTCTTTCTGAGGGTATTTGTCCACACCTGACTCCCATCAAGGGCTGGTACTGTTCAGAAAAGGGAAGAGTTGGCTCCAGGCACAAGTCTTATGCTGGTCAGGACCAGATGTGGCAAAATATTTGATGTTTATATTCATTATCTTTCTCCTACTCATTTTTGGTCCTTTGTCTTATCTTAGTTTGCCCTCTACCACAAAGATGCCACCGCATTTAAGAAGAATGATAAAACATTGTGAATTCAATTGAGGGGCTACCAATATTTACTACTTCCAGTTGCCACTTCCACCCCCTACAATCAAGAAGATATATATTTTAAAGCAATGAATTTAATTGTCAATTTACGCATGGTGGCCTGAGCAGGAGCACAGTAGGTTTGGATAGTTCCTGGTTCTCAGTGTCCCTCATATTTTGCCATTTGTCACCTTTTTCCAGTTTCTTACAATTCTTGGTGTTGGCTTTGGTTTGGAATATCTGTGTGGGAAGGAGAGAGACTTCTAAAATGATAGCCCTACCATAAGATTGGGCTGGGGTTAGCTGGGAGGACCCTGACATGCCACCAGAACTTGGGAAGTTAGCTTACTCACAGGCAAGACCTTTAATTATCTTTGGAGGTCTTACTTTTCTTCTGAGAATTCCTGTTTTCCAGACATAACAAGGCCTGGTTTATATTAATGTAATCCCCAAGGACCTTTGGATTTTAAAATTTATTGTTCTGGAATATCCCTATGACTTCTTACACATCTCTTCACCCTTGGCAGAGAAACTTACCCAAATTTATTTGCACACAACTAAGAACTTCAGACATCATCTGGGAAGAATAACCTTCATGGGCTGGGGTTGTGGCTCAGTGGTAGAGCACTTGCCTGGCATGTTTGAGGCACTGGGTTCAATCCTCAACACCACATAAAAATAAATAAATAAAATAAAGGTATTGTTTTTGTCCATCTACAACTAAATATATAAATATAAAAATAAAAAAGAATAACTTCACAACAATTTCAATTCCAGTGATTAAAATTGAAGGTATTTCCAACCTTTTAGAGGCAAATCATATACTCTACCTCCCATGAAATAATAACTTTATTCATTGCTTTCCTTTGTCTTTTTTGTTATTTTCCACTCACATTTCTTTCTGGTACCAGCCCTCTCTTTTTCTTTTCCAGACTTTAAATCCTCCAGCCCTTGCTTTGGAATTTGCTTGTACCAATACCATTTACTTTTCTCTCTAGTGCCCACTTCTTTCTACCTGCTCACTCTCCCAACTTCTGGGTTCCTTCCTCTCACATTCCACCCTGCAGTCTGCTCTCCACACACAGGACCCTGACTCACTAACATACCTTGTTACAAGACATGCCCTATGAGTTATCTTTTGGCTGACTTGCATATTCTGCTGTTGCTCTTCCTCATTTGTTCCCCAGGTGGGCATCAATTACCAGCCACCCACCGTGGTGCCAGGAGGGGATCTGGCCAAAGTCCAGCGGGCTGTCTGCATGCTGAGCAACACCACAGCAATTGCGGAGGCCTGGGCCCGCCTTGACCATAAGTTTGACCTAATGTACGCCAAACGGGCCTTTGTGCATTGGTATGTTGGAGAAGGAATGGAAGAAGGAGAATTTTCTGAGGCCAGGGAGGATCTGGCTGCCCTGGAGAAGGATTATGAAGAAGTGGGGACCGATTCATTTGAAGAAGAAAATGAAGGGGAGGAATTTTAAATATACATCTTCCTCTTGGCTGTGTCTTTTTATTTATGCTGCTCCACTATACACATTTAACTAGTCAAGAGTAACAGACCATTCTCCCAACCCCAGCCTGATTCCTGTCTTACACAGGAGGAGGGCACCTGACTCTAGTACCCATGGGTGATGTGACTGGCCAAAAATAGATGCTGAATTATTTCAGACCCTTGTTTGAGCCAAGAGTAGATTTGTCACTAAAGAAAATGAAGGTTATTGTTTCTGGGTGAAGGTGAGGCCAAGTTACACATGTGAAGAGGCCTAATCAGTTATTTTAATTCTAGATTAGGCTGGGTCCACCCCACTTAACACTGTCTGACCTGATCTCATTCATTTATAGGTACTTATGAAGGCAGGAAATATGGGTCTGTTTATTACTAACTCTCTAGCTCTTAGGACAGCTAAGACAAAGGTGCACAAGGGACCCCTTGGAATCCTGCTGGACAAAGACTGAAGAAAGGAAAGATCTCTCCTGAAAGATTCCAGGGAGAGAGTGAACAGAAATTCACATTAATGGATCTGTAGCATGGCCTTGGCATCATCTGGACTTATCATACATTAATTCATTCATTAAATATTTGAGTACAGTCTTCTCTCTTATCTTAGGGCCCATTCCAAGATACCTACTAGATACCTGAAACTATGGAGAGTACCAAACTGAATAGTTAGTATTCTTTTTCCTGTGCACACATACCTATAATAAGGTTTTAATTTATAAATTAGTCACAGTAAAAGATTAATACTAACTACTAATGCAACAGAACAATTTCACAATAAAAGATTAATACTAACTACTAATGCAACAAAATACTGTAATCAAAATTATATGGGGGCTGGAGATATAAGAGATGGAATGTGCACTTAGCATGTGTGGAACTCTGGGTTCATGCTGCAGCAAAATACACAGAGTTATGTGAATGTGATCTCTCTTTCAAAATATCTTAGTGTAATTGTACTTACCCTTTTCCATGGGAAACTTAAACTACAGAAAGCAAAACTATGGATAAAGGGGCTTATTGTACATTTTCTGTTTTAGAGTTAGTGATAAGACACACATGCCTGTCTTCCTAAATACCTATAAATTAATGAGATTATATCAGATGGTATTAAATGATATTAAGTGAAAACAGTGATGAGAGAATGTTGAAGGAGTGCCTCTGTGGATAAGGAGGTCAGAAAAGACCCAGATGACATAAGGAGTCAGAGGACACCTCCCTACCCCCACCCTTGGCAAGTTCCTCTGGTGTCTGATAGGTGTCTGGTAGAGAATTTGGGTCAGGAGCTGTCAGCCCCATCTCAGGAAGGGGCATATTTTCTCTTGAAGRTAAGAGTCCTATTCATGGATTTGGATAAGTCTCAAAGAACTTCTGAATGTGTGAGTATGACCCCCTAGGCCAGGGTTTAATGCAGGGACAAATCACTTACATTCCTTATAGATTTATGTGAATTATGTTAAAATAAAAATGAATGATAAAGTCACAAAATTAATGTTAAAGGTATGTGCAATTGGGTGGGGCTGCAAGAAAGTTTGGGGGATTATATGTAAGGAATTTAGATGTATGTCCCTTGCCACCATATCTCTTCTTCCATTTTCCTCCTTTTGTTGAGTCCCTGTCCAGCCTCTAGGCCTACTCAGCCCTCAATCATGTTGAGATTCTTGCAGGGTTTGGAGGGGTGGTTAGATATTATGTATATATTCCTACCTTAAAACCTACCAAACACTTTTTGAGTGCCTATAGCACTGCTTAGCTTTTAGGCCCTGTTTAGAAGATAGAAATATCAAAGCACTGAGTTTAAGAATGGGACATAAGGGTGCCTAGTAAGAAAGTGGGCAAGGAGGTGGGTGACTCTCTGCCATTCCCCACACTGGCAGCTGTATCTGTCTTTCCCTAGTATGGGATTGGCTTGAGGCTTCTTAAACAGCAAAGCAGGGTTGGCAGACACTAGATAAATGATAAAGAATTGTGCAACACCCTTGGTAGGCTGCTTGTTTAGCTCACTGAGCTAACCAATTAGATAATTCAAACTCTTAAAACCCAGTGCTAGCTCTCTTAGGGATGCCCTAAAGTCATGTTTACCAAGATTTTAAAAAACATTTTTATATTTTATTCCTGGAATTCATAGTTAACACAATACTCCAGTGAAATCCTCTTTCACTTCCCACCTTAATTTATCAGATATATTTCTTGTTTATCTCTAGTTTGGGAGTATGGGCATTCATATATATTTTTTTATCACTCTAGTATTTGCATTCCTAAATCTCAACAATAGGGACAAACCTCCAGATTTGTTTTTGTTTTTGACAGAAATCAGCTTAGGTTCCAATGTTAATCTACTAAGGGGAAAGACAATACGTTTATTTTCTCTAAATTTGCTGGTTCTATCAGCAAATCTGAATTGATGCCAGTGGAATTACCTTTCCTACTATAATACACATCTATCAAAGGGATTGAAATGTTCTCCTTTTCCATTTTGTAAGCCCAAACTCTCCACAATGGTGTGTGTGGGGGGATAGTGTCATAGCTAGCTTTAAAAGCTCTTTTGGCAAATTTTCATTGGTTATTTTAAAAATTATGAGAGTGAGAGGGTGAGTGAGGATATTAATATGAACTAATTAAATTTTGTAGTGTTTCAACTATTCTTCTTTTCTTATGCAACAGGTTTTTCAAGGGTAAAGGTGAGACCTCACTTATCCATTTTTTTTTCATGAATATGCAGTACATATCCCTTATGGAAACTTATATACACGATGCTTGGAAATTAGGAACTAAAGTCTAAACTGTAAGACTGCTTTTTAGGCTTATGGTCAGAACATAGTCTCTCTAAGCAGGTTCCATTATCTTTCAGTGGGGAGGGGGAATAACAATACATAAAATAGTCTTACTTATAAATGTCAGTGCAAAAATAATTAGTAAAATATTAGTTAGTAGAATCCATACCACATTGAAAAATGACAGTCTGATCAAGAGAGATTTATTACAGGAATTCAACCATGGTTCAATATTAGAAATTCCACCTAAAAGTCATTATGCCAGTCAGGAAAACATTAGGGACATTGCAGTAAGATCAGGAATTATGGATGGTCTTGAATCTCAACTATCATTTAAATTGTACTTATAGTATTAGGTAGTGCAATTAAATAAGGAAAAGCCAGCAGAAGAAGAATAATTAAAAATGAAGATGAAAATCTCTGTCTTCTCTCTTTGTAGGTGATGTGACACACTATCTGGAAAATTCTATGGAATCAATGATAAGACTCAGACAAAATTTTGTGATTTTGTAAAGACAATAACCAGTTAGTAGAAGAGAATAGTAGAAGCTGGATGTAGAGGTCCATGCCTGTAATCCCAGCAACTCAGGAGGCTGAGGCAGGAGGATCACAAGTTCAAAGCTAGCCTCAGAAATTTAATGAGCCCCAAAGCATTAACAATAGGAAAAAAAGTTAAATACTTAGAAATAACAACTTAGGAAATATTAGAAGACCTTAGGAGAAAAACTCAGACACAAAAGTAGAGAAGTACATTTAAAGATATTTATTTTTAGATAGTATGTCTCAATGAAGCATACATGTTATTCTGAGTTACTTAATACATTTAACACAACCCAATAAAAGTACCCATAGCTTTCTTTTTAGTATGGGGGTACCAGGGATTGAACTCAGGGGTACTCAACCACTGAGCCACATCCCCAGCCCTATTTTATATTTTATTTAGAGACAGGATCTTACTGAGTTGCTTAGCATCTCGCTATTGCTGAGGCTGGCTTTGAACTCACAATCCTCCTGTCTAGCTTCCTGAGCCACTGGGATTATAGGCATGCACCACCATGCCCAGCAGTACCCACAACTTTTTTAAAAAAAGAAAAATTCTTTTGTTGTGAAATAATTATAGATCCATAAGATGTTGCAAAAATAGCAGCGAGATTGGGAGAATCCTTAACCCATTTCCTCCAGTGATTCCATTTTATGTAACATTAAAACCAAGAAAACAACAGTGATAATGTGTGTGTATCTCTACAACGTTTTATTACATGTGTAGATTTGTATAACCACTGCATCAATCAGGATAAGAAAGAAAGAAAAAAATTACTCATACTAGACCACCTCTACCACTGAAGTTTATCAGCTTTTAAAAGAACTAATACCAATGCTCCTTAAACTATTTCATGAAACAGAAAGGGGAAGAACCCTTTTGAAACTCATTCTACCAAGCTGGCATTACCCTGATACCAAAACCAGTTAAGGACACAGACAATAACAGTAAAAAGAAAAGTATAGACAGATATCCTTGATGACATACCTGCAAAAATCCTTGATAAAGGGCTGGGAATATAGCTCAGTTGGTAGAGCATTTGCTTTATGTGCACAAGGCCCTGGGTTCAATCCCCAGCAACACACACACACACACACACACACACACACACACACATCTCCAATAAATATTTGCAAATCAAATTAGATAGCATGTTTAAGAGATAATACACCATGGTCAAGTTGGTTTCATTCCAGGAATAGAAGGATGGTTCCATATATTCAAATCAATAAACAAAATAGAGCACATATATAGAATCAAGGGTAAAAATCACGTAATTATCTCAATAGAAGCAGAAAAATACTTTGATGAAGTTCAACACAACATCCTTCATGACAAAAACCCTGAGAAAACTAGATATAGAAAAATCTTATGTCAATCTAATAAAGGCTGTATATGACAAACTCTACCCAACATCATACTGACTGGGGAAAAACTAAAAGTATTTCTTTGAAATCAGGAATGGGGCAAGGGCATCCACTCTCATCACTCTTATAAACCATAGTACTTGAAATTTTAGCCAGTGCCATCAGGAAATAGAAAAGGATGCAAATAAAAAAGAAGAAAGTCACATTATCCCTGATTGAATAATACTTAGGAAACCCTAAAGACTTCACAAAAAAACCTCCTTAGAGGGCTGGGGATGTGGCTCCAGCGGTAGCGCGCTCACCTGGCATGCGTGCGTCT